TGGTTGACCAGGGAGGGTGGGAGGACTGGGCATCTTGGGTTTACGGGTCAAGGGTTGAGGACGAGGAATCCGGGCTGACTTGGACGGGGAGACACGTGGAGAAGCCTTGGGGGAATCAGACTGGGACAGGGTGACACGTGGAGAAGTGCTAGGAGAACTAGACTGGGACGGGGAAGGAGACGGTACAGGACAAAAGACAGGGCGAGATGTAGGCGACTGTGGGGCGGTGATGGGCAACACTGTGGCTGGCTGAAGAGCAGGAAAGGGGTCAGTGTACTCAGTAGCAGAACCAGAAACAGCGCTCATCACGTCAGATTCAGGAGAGGCGCTACTCATGTCAGACTCTGAACCTGCAATGTCCGCAGCTGACACTGGGACCGAGTTGACGGGAACAGATTCTAGAACAGTGTTGTCTGAAACCGGCTCGGGAACAGCGCTGGCAGAAACTGGCTCGGGAACAGCGCTGGCAGAAACTGGCTCGGGAACAGCGCTGGCAGAAACTGGCTCGGGAACAGCGCTGGCAGAAACTGGCTCGGGAACAGCTCTGGCAGAAACTGGCTCGGGAACAGCGCTGGCAGAAACTGGCTCGGGAGCAGCGCCGGCAGAGACTGGCTCGGGGGCAGCGCTGGCTGAAGCAGTGCCCTCAGCAGCTGGTCCAAGAACCGTTCGCGGGCTCAGGGGAAAGAAGAGACGGGAACGGGAAGCCCCCTTCTTTCTCCTTTTTCTCCTGGGGCGGGAAGCAGAGGCCATGACCGGATTTGTGACCGGTTGGGGATGCGCAGCAGGAACCGTGTCGGGCGGAAGAGGAGCTCTCTCTGGCTGGGTTGACTCCGTCACTGAGGACTCTGAAGGGGACTCCCACGAGGTCCGTCTCCCTCGTTTCCCACGAAGACTGAAGGAGGTGGATGGAGTCTCAAGAGTCGTGGAGGAGCTAGCCTGGTCCCCAAACGTCGTGACACCGATGAAAGGACTCTCGGGAATAACTGGCAGCCAGGCAGAAGGTGAAGACCTCGAAGATGCCGCCTGTGACTCCTCCCGGGAGAAACGATCATAGAGTTGAGCGTAGTTAGACAGGATCCACTCACCCTGGGGCGAGTATGGAAGGTTGACGTTCTTCCTGTTGAGGGGAGTAGACAACCAGCATTGTTCACGGGGATCCGGTTGACGCCAGGAAAGGACAAACTATCTGCTGGGTTCTTCTTTGGCTGGTTCATTCTGTCACGGATTTTCAGGAACAAACCTAATTGCAGACAGTTTGATGACACACAAGGTTGATTGATAACAAAAAGGGAAAACAAAACCCCACGAGGGGGGAAAAACAGCACAGGCAAAGCAAAAGACTAGTGATGTGACATTTGAACCGAGGCGTCGGAGCTTGTGTCGAGAAAAAATGGGCGTGCCAGATGAAGCCGCGATTCGAGGCTTGTGTTGTTAACGTGAAAATCACGTGACTAATGACAAACGAGGCCTCGGTTTGTGTGGATACGTCATCGGTTCGGTCTGAGTGTCGCTTCCGGATAAAGGGGGTTCGAAACTCGCGCCACCTTGTGGGTGTTGCAGGAGTAGTAAGCACTTGTAGCGTGTCAGAGAGTCAGAGTTAGAGAACTCTCATTGTCGTTATTGTGTCATATATGTGTTAGGGCTGTATATTATTACATTTTATCAGGTTAGAGTTAATAATAATAATGAATAATTGTTATTATTAATTATAGTAGCTATATTATAGTCTTGTTATATTAATTAGAAAATATTATTTGGATTGCTTTGGATTTTTGGTAGCTTAGATTTTTGGATCTCGACTGGACTGCTTTTTAATTTGGATTGCCCTTTTGGATTTGTTTGCTTTTTATGACATCTTTCTTTTTCATGGTAATGGAGCCAGCAAGAAAGAGGAGATCCTCCCCTGTCTGGGCTTAACATCAGTATCTTCATTTATACCCGCTGGCACTGACATTTTATGTTCCCCTGCATTCTCTGTTCCTTGTGAAAGGATATTTTTAGAAGAGGAATTGTCTAAACCCCAACACACTTCAAAAAATTCATTTTCTCAATACAAATCTATTGCAATCCTTCCTTCATCCACCCCAAACTGTGGTGTTTACTGCAGTTTACTTTATTACACTTCCTCGAGTCCCTCCACAAGCACTGCACTCAACATAGTCACTTTTGTTGTTCATACTGTCCCTATCCAATATTTTTTGGAATAATTAATTAACTGTGTGTGTGACAGTTGTCTCTGTAAGTAAATGCAGACAGAGAAAGATACACGTTTTATTTCATACCCAGGCAATGGACAAATGTCTGCACAGATCTCTTTATTATTGCAAATGAAAGTTTACAGAGACATTAACTCATATTTAGAAGAAGATAAATAAATAAAACATTGTGGGAGGGGGGCGGGTCATTGGTTCAGAATGAATTAATTTGCCTGCAATTTCTTTGCACAATAGCTAGGTGTCACTAGTGAGCAATGCTGAATGAAGCTTCGAGTAATGAACCTTTGGTTGAAGCAATGGGCTGCGAGGTCTCAGTGGTTCAGGAAGCCTCATCTTGCCATCACTACAAAAGACAAACAACAATAGACTAAGACTTAAACATAAAACTTCACAGGAACAAAATAACTATAACAAGAAAACTTCTTTGTTTAGACAGACCTCAAGACAAGGTACTCACAAGTATTACCGTGTGTGGATACACACACAATCAATCACAATGAACCAGCACAGGACAGCAAACACAAGGGGATAATATAGGGAGAACAGATAACGACAGCAGGTGACACTGATCAGGCAATGAAGACAAGATGAGGATAACAAGGGGGCGGGGAAAGAGAACGAGACAACACAAGCACACAACCCAAAATCAAGGCCATGTGCCTGCACACAAAACATGGGTCTGTCATGATCCTGCCTCAAGACTAGAGAAAGGAAATGACAAGAGGGCAGAATCATGACAGTCCCAGTTACTCGTGCACACAGCTATTTTTTTTAATTCAGGTAAATCTGCATAGGGCAGTTCTAGCAATGTCTCCGCGAACATTTGGCATTTAATGACCGTTGAAAAGACGTCACATCCCGTCATTGTTGAAAAATAGTTCCAAAATGAAAATTGAACAGACATCTTTGACGTTAACTTTTCTGTTACATATTTTTACCGATTTATGCCGTCCTACCGTGACTATTTTTGCAGGGACACACCGACCGTTGTCGTCGGACCAATGATTGCGGCGGTGGTATGTGAAGTTTAACTGATCTCCAATGACAACTCCAAGGAGAAGTGTTGGGTTGGCCAAAACCACAAGCAGTTTGGTCTTGGAAAGGTTGAGTTGCAGTAGGTGATGGTCTTTCATCCAGCAAGAAATGTCAGGCAGTAGAGAGGTAAAGTTGTGGCTGTGCATAGTGATAGGAAAAGCCATATTTTTGAATGACAGATCCTAGTGATGTCATAGATGGAGAAGAGAAGTAATCCCAGGACTGAGCCCTGAGGCGCGCAACTTAAGACACCTCACCCCTCCATGACACCCTGAAGGACCTACCTGAGATGTCCTTTGTCATGAAGGTTGACAGGTGGATCTGGTGATTAATTGGTGTATCTGGTGGTGTCAAAAGCAGGAGACCGATCTAGCAAGATGAGTACTGATTATTTGGAAGCTGCTCATGCCAGTCTCAGAGCTTCAAAAACTGAGAGCAGGGAAGTTTTAGTTGAGTGACCACTTTTGAAGCCAGACTATTTGCTGTCCAGGAGGTTGTTCTGTGTGAGAAATGCAAAATGCAAAGGTTGAAGATGACTCGCTCAAGTGTTTTTGCAATAAATGAAAGAAGTGATACCGGTCTGGGTTTAGAGTGGGTTTCTTTAGCAGTGAGGTTGTCCAGGCCTGCTTAAATGCTGTGGGAAGAGTGAGTGCAGGTACAGAAGAAATTACTTGAAGGATATAAGTTAATAGGCTCAAGCAGACAGGTAGATTGGAAAGGGTGAGTTTGAAGACTTCTGCCTCTGAGAGCGGAAAGAAGGAGAGTGTGTTTGAGGTTAAGATGTGTTTGTTGGTTTATGGTGTGGAGAATTGGACGCTGATGGTTGTTGTTTTATTAGGTACTGCCTTGTGTCTTAGATTTATTATATTTTGATTATTTTATAGGACTATTTCTTTCCTTAATTTGACAATTTCATGATTTACTTGTTAACTTTGAATTTGCATTGGCTTGCTATTTTTCTTTAGTTCTGTTAAACCTATTAATAATTTATATAGAATTATGATATTAAACATATAGTAAAATTCCTGAGCTTCCCTTGAATAGGCTTTAGCACAACAATTTAGCTATTTAAATGGCTTTTTGGAGTACTGAGATCTAGTGCAGAATAGAATTTGATCTGTTTGCAGATAAAAATTGCGCATCTCCTCCCTTTTCCTGCCTGTCTTTCCTTTGTTGCCAAATAGCACGCTTTAGAATGGCTGTGCAAAAGATGCAATAAAAAAGCCTGTTCAGAATTAAATGAAAGCAACTGCAAGAGATGTCAATGAAGTTGCTTGTATATTTATCTGCACACTGGTGGAACAATGACTATTTAATTCTCAAACATAGTCCATGCTGAACATATTCACAAAAGATTATGGAAAGCTGTTTATCCCAAGACTGACAGTTTGGGCTGGTTAGTGCAAAAAAAAACAACAACCAAAAAACAGGTAAGAACATTGAAATTCATCACCAGATTTAGTTCACCTTTTTGATAGAATTTTCTGAAAACAATATAGGATAAAGGATGAGCTTAAATCAAATTGATTGCAATAATCTGATTGATATATATATATATATATATATATATATATATATATATATATATATATATATATATATATATATATATATATATATATATATATATATATATAAAAAAGCTTTAAAAAATAGTTTAGAATAAATAATATATAATATGAATAAAATATTTATCAAAGTGTGAATATGGTGTGAATCAAGTCCTAAATGAAATAGGAGCAGAGCAGTCAAATAAGTTCTACTGGTTATTATTTAACAGGGTAATTCAAAATCTTTAGCTGAAATCAATGTTCCTATTATGACTTCTAAGTAAACCCATATCAGTTTAATAACCTAGACCCTCTTGGTTGCCAGACAACTCTCATCGTGTTTATTTAACTGTGTGGTGACGCTCGTGAAACTAGCATGGTAACCACACGCTTAGGTTGTGCAGAATGCGTGGACAGATAAAGTTGAGTGCATATGCGGATGTAGGTTGATTGTAAGCCTTCAGAAGAAAAACTGAAAAAGCATCTTTTTTATCTGTCTTGCTTGTAGAATGAGCTCGAATACAACTCTGTCCTTACACTTCAACTCTAAAATTCCAACCGAGAAAACAACAGTGGACATTGTCTTCCTCTCCATCATCTTTCTTCTCGGCACCACTGGGAACTCGGTGGTGATCTGGGTGGCCGGCTTTCGCATGAAGCCCAACGTCACTAATGTTTGGTTGGTCAATCTGGCAGTAGCTGACCTGATCTTCTGCCTGACACGAGTCACTTCGCTCCTCAAAAACATTTTCTTTAACCACTGGGCTTTTGGGGTCTTTCTCTGCAAGTTCAATGGTTTCTTCAAGTACGCCAACATGTTCTGCAGTGTTTTCCTTCTGGCTGTCATCAGTGTGGATCGAGCGCTCTGCGTCTGGTGCCCAGTTGCTACTAGAAAACGACGGACGTTATGTGCAGCTCGTGTGGCCAGTGTGGGAGTTTGGATTGTGGCCGTGATCTTTAGTTCACCGTATTTTGTGTACCGGCAGGTCTTCCCTGGCAAGAACAACCTGAGCCACTGCTCACTGAAGGTCAGAATGGCTTTAAAAAATGACTGCATAAAAAAATCTGATTTTGTTATTATGAATATATAATTATAAATTAATTTGCAGGAGAAAGAAGCAGCAGAAGCAAGTGGAATACTATAATTGCATGTACTATAGAAAATATGTGAAAATCAATTTGTGATTTCATTTACAGGAGAAAGGAAGTGCTGAGTATGTCTACTACTTCATTCGTTTCATCTGTGGATTCTTGTTGCCCTTCCTGGTCATCCTCATCAGTTACATACTAGCTGCTGTTGGGATACGCAGAACACGGCTCTCGGGCAAATCGAGGCCTCTGCGCATTCTTGCTGTATTGGTCGGTGCTTTTTTCCTATGTTGGGCCCCCTACCACTTTCTAGGACTGGTCAAATTGGTGGATAAAAACAACAAGGTGGTAAAAGTAGGATGGAGAATGGCTTCAAACTTAGCCTATTTCAACAGCTGCATTAACCCATTGCTGTACTTCTGCATGGGACTGCAGTTTAGTCAACGATGCAACCAAAGTTTGTCTGGGATTTGTCACAGAGCTTTTAAGGAAGAAAGCCAAATTCTGTCACAGCAAGGCACTGGTGAGGAAAGCTGGAATTCCATTCCAAAGACTGAGAGTGTCACTAAACTTTGAGTTTTTACTCTTTTTCTTGTTCATTTGTCAGGTCTAGCAGCTAACTTTCTTTAATGCATTTTTTTTTATTAGTGTATATAACACATTGACAAATGAACATATAAAATATACCTGAAAATATTCAAACTAAGATCATTCGTAATATGGGTAATAATATTTATATAAATGTTTATGAAATAATTCTGCATTTTTATGATCGGTTATGTTTGTCTACATGTGTATGATTGTTATTTAACAGGATTGATAAGCCCACCTGAGGCAGGAAGATTAAGCGGAAATTATATGTGCATGGCTTAATATAAGGGAATTAACATTTTTCATTGTTTCTGTAATATTAACCAATGCAATAAATGCACAGTGTATGAAAGCTTTTGATGCAATTTCTTTTCATCAGAAAAACAAAACTAATTGTTTCCGGTTTAAATGTCTTCTAAACCTTTAGGTCTTTGTAGCTTAACTGAGCACACTGAAATAAATCATCTGCAGTGACTGAAACATTAAAGGTTGTTCAATATTGCAAAATGATGACACCCATTTTTGTTTTGCATGTGCACTTCTTAGTAGGCTATAATTAATGCTTCCTCATGAGAGAGAACACATGGGTACATCCTATATAGAAGGCTTATTGTGACTGACTGAACTTAGATATGTCATATTAGATACATGTCTTTTTTTTTTTTTTTTTTTAAAGGTAAAGTGTTTGAATAAAACATACATTTATTTACAAAGTGTCTCTTGCTTTAGTAATGTCTAGTCTATTGGGAATTTCCTGATTAAAGCTCAAACAACATTCAACAGATTTGAATGAAGTGCAAGAGACATGAACATGAGCAAGAATGTCACAATTATAGCCATTGATTATACATTAAGGGCAGGGATGGGCAGTATTTCAGACATGTATTTAAAATACGTATTTGAAATACAAAATACTATTTTGTATTTTAAAGCCTTTGAAAAAAAAACATATGTAATTTGTATTTAATACATTTAAGATGAGTATTTTTGTATTTCCAAAATACGTAAAATACCTTTTGCCAGTCATCCTGTTAATCGGGTTTCGTGCATCAACTAGTTCAGACACGCCCACTCCTCCCAACCCCGACATTCATGCATGAGAGCTGCAGTCTAGGCTACTACTCAGCATTGGATCCGCAACTTTTCTGCAATAAGGTGAGGATGTCATGATCACTTCTACTTGTTGATTAAAGTTAAAATAGCCTAGTGCATTATTTAGATTTTCCTTCAGTTATGAAAGAATAAAAGAGCACAGACAAGTGGGAAAATAGCGTTAGCCAATCAGTCTGGATCGGTTGTGGATTTTTCAACAACAATTGTGTTGAAAATGTGTTTAAAGCATGTTACTGCATGTTATGGCTGGGTGATATGACACTGTTATAGCGATGATATAAGTTTGAATCGATGGAACTTTTTCTAAATAAGCAAATGTTCTTTGCTAAATAGCAGAAAAGGTTCCCACAGTTTTACATAGGCTACAGTATGAATTTTTAATAGTGTTCACACTACAAATAATAGACTACATTGTAACCTGGTTTAAATAAGGATATAAATGGCTGCTATTTTGCATAAGTTTATTTGTAATTGCGAGCAGGAAAGAAAGAAAGACAGAGAGGGCAGAGATAAGGTTAGGAATTAAAAGGCAGTAGGCCTATGTAGTTTCTTCATTCACCTGCTGGATGGCCAATTTCATATGTATTTTGTGTATTTTCAAAATACTTAATTTGTAAAAAAAAAAAAAAAAAAAAAAAAAAAAATCCACACAGTATTTTGTATGTTTTATTTTAAATACATTTCCATGTATTTATGCCCATCTCTGATTGAGGGTAGGCTATAGGCTACGCTATAATGATGTACTAAAATGGGAAACGTTTTTCTTTGTTGTCAAAACTATCCCCGTTGTTCACACCTTACTGCCAGGCCAGTAGTTGGCGATGTCACTTTGTAAAGAAAAAACTACGCGCCTATTGACTGAACACGTAATACGCATGCGCATGATGTTAACATTGTCACAAATTTGCATTTTTTGTAGTTTACACAGAGATGATAACGGTAGTGTTTCCTAAAACCTGCAATTGGAATCCTATTGTCAAAGGTTTGTGTTTTTGGGCCCCCAAAATGTCATTGTCGAGTAAATGAACAGCCAAAACGCATAATTTTTTTTCCATTTTTAGTTGAAAACTGTGTTGTGTATAAACTGCCCCTGAGTTGTGTCTTTGTATACTTAAATATGCCATGTCAAGTAAAGTCACCATTTGTTTATATAGCGCTTTATACAATATTGCAATGTTTATACAATTTTTCAAAGCTCTACTGTGATAACAGGAAAATTATGCATTACGGCTGTTGTTCAGCTGAAGTCAGTTCAGTGTTGAATCAGTTCTGTTGTAAAGATCTTCAATTATTAAATTAGTTAATTTCATCTCTAAGCAGTTCTACAAAAAAAATGATGTCATCGTTCAGTTCAGTTCTCATTCAACAGCGTAAGTACAGTCAGATCAATAATGTTGTTTTTTAAAATATTAAGTTACATAAATAATATATGAATGTGCCAAAGCCACACTTCACTTACAACAATTCTGTTTACGTAAAAAAAAAAGGATTTATGTTTGTGTAAGTCTCCTCCCCCTTCCAATTTCTCTTATCTGTCTTCAGGGAAAACACATGAACCGCCTGTTCTAAGGAGCAAAAGGAAGAGAGCAACTGCAAGTAATATCAATGAACTAGCCGCAGATTTATTTTTTAAGCATAGCAAAATGACATTTTAATAGTCATACACAGCTCCTATTGAATCATTTACAAAGGATTTCGCTGTTTTTTCCCCTCAAGATTGATGGATTGGTCTGATTTGTGAAAACACTGATGTGTACAGGTAAGAACATCTACATCAATTCATCACAAGATTATCTATATTTCTGTCCTCATTTTGTACCAAGTTTTTTAAAATTAATATTATTATTATTACGATGACACTTTACAATAAGTTTTCATTAGTTTTTGAGCATTTACTACTTAACATGAACTAATTATGAATTGCGCTTCTTCAGCATTTGTTAATCTTTGTTAATGTTAATTTCAACATTTACTTATGCAAGCTTCAAAGTTTTTGATACAGCTAACACAGCAGGGCATCTGAAGCAGGGCAACAGTTTTGCTAAAAACAACAACAACAATGGGATAAAGTAATTATGATTTATGAAATCCTAAATGTGTGATTTCACAGAGTAATTTGACATCTATAACTGACCTTGTTATTTTTGGTGCACCAATATAAAATTTGTGTGGCAGTATACTGATATCCGATTTTTTAGAATGACATCTGCCAATACAGATAACGACAGCCTAACGATAGTTCCGATAGTTTTGTGTGAATCGTCCCTAATCATCAGCTGTTTTTAAACAAACGGCCGATACAAGTATTGGCTGATACATCGGTGCATCCCTTGTTATTGCTATCCCTTGTACTTTGTGATCTAATGTGCTTTTAACAACACTCATAACACCAAAATTAATTTTCTACTGATGCATATCAGGGTTGCATCTTACAAAATTATGAAAATGTTATCCATTTGAGCATTTTAGAATTTTATGAGCGAACCTATGCCGAATAAGTCTTCCAAGTTGTCTTAGAAATTAATATCAAGACAGAAGTTTAAACTATAGGAACATTTACTGATTTGTCTGTCTAGGTTGTAGAATGACTTCCAATACAACACTTCTCCATTATGCCCACTCTGATGTCTCAAACCACCATGAGAACACTACAGTGGACATCGAAGTCATCATGAATGAGGTCAGCATTGTCTTCCTCACCATCATCATTTTCCTCGGCACCACCGGGAACTCTGTGGTCATCTGGGTTGTCAGCTTCCGAATGAAGCCCAACGTCACTAACGTATGGTTGCTCAACCTTGCAGTAGCTGACCTGATCTTCTGCCTGACACGAGTCCTATCACTAGTCTCAAGCCTTTTCTTTGACTACTGGCCTTTTGGGGTCTTTCTCTGCAAGTTCAATGGTTTCTTCAAGTACGCCAACATGTTCTGCAGTGTTTTCCTTCTGGCTGTCATCAGTGTGGATCGAGCGCTCTGCGTCTGGTGCCCAGTTGCTACTAGGAAACGACGGACGTTATGTGCAGCTCGTGTGGTCAGTGTGGGAGTTTGGATTGTGGCCGTGATCTTTAGTTCACCGTATTTTGTGTACCGGCAGGTCTTCCCTGGCAAGAACAACCTGAGCCACTGCTCACTCAAGGTCAGAATGGCTGCACACATATTTAAATAATCATGCATATGCATTTTTATATAATGATTATATTTAGTAAATATATTAATGTCATCATTTTTTTCATTTGCAGCACAAAGAAGCAGCTGAAGCAGGTGACAATTCAGCAAAGTATGTCTACTACAGCATTCGTTTCATCTGTGGATTCCTGTTGCCCTTCCTGGTCATCCTTATCAGTTACATACTAGCTGCTGTTGGGATACGCAGAACACGGCTCTCGGGCAAATCGAGGCCTCTGCGGATTCTTGCTGTATTGGTCAGTGCTTTTTTCCTATGTTGGGCCCCCTACCACTTTCTAGGACTGGTCAAATTGGTAAATGCAGCCAACAAGGTGGTAAAAGTAGGATGGAGAATGGCTTCAAACTTAGCCTATTTCAACAGCTGCATTAACCCGTTGCTGTACTTCTGCATGGGACTGAAGTTTAGTCAACGATGCAACCAAAGTTTGTCTGGGATTTGTCACAGTGCTTTTATGGAGGAAGGCCAAACCCAGCGGGACACTTGGGACGAAAGATATAATTCCATTCCAAAGACTGCAGGCACAAGTGTGTCTAAAAACTTTTTTTAAGAGTTTTTATTCTATTTGTCTTGTTCATTTATCATGTCTATCAAATAGCATAACATTTAAACGTATTTTTAAAATATATGTATATATATATATATATACACTCACCGGCCACTTTATTAGGTACACCTGTCCAACTGCTCGTTAACACTTAATTTCTAAGCAGCCAATCACATGGCGGCAACTCAGTGCATTTAGGCATGTAGACATGGTCAAGACAATCTCCTGCAGTTCAAACCGAGCATCAGTATGGGGAAGAAAGTTGATTTGAGTGACTTTGAACGTGGCATGATTGTTGGTGCCAGAAGGGCTGGTCTGAGTATTTCAGAAACTGCTAATCTACTGGGATTTTCACGCACAACCATCTCTAGGGTTTACAGAGAATGGTCCGAAAAAGAAAAAACATCCAGTGAGCGGCAGTTCTGTGGGCGGAAATGCCTTGTTGATGCCAGAGGTCAGAGGAGAATGGCCAGACTGGTTCGAGCTGATAGAAGGGCAACAGTGACTGAAATAACCACTCGTTACAACCGAGGTATGCAGCAAAGCATTTGTGAAGCCACAACACGCACAACCTTGAGGCGGATGGGCTACAACAGCAGAAGACTCCACCGGGTACCACTCATCTCCACTACAAATAGGAAAAAGAGGCTACAATTTGCAAGAGCTCACCAAAATTGAACAGTTGAAGACTGGAAAAATGTTGCCTGGTCTGATGAGTCTCGATTTCTGTTGAGACATTCAGATGTTAGAGTCAGAATTTGGCGTAAACAGAATGAGAACATGGAACCATCATGCCTTGTTACCACTGTGCAGGCTGGTGGTGGTGGTGTAATGGTGTGGGGGATGTTTTCCTGGCACACTTTAGGCCCCTTAGTGCCAATTGGGCATCGTTTAAATGCCACGGCCTACCTGAGCATTGTTTCTGACCATGTCCATCCCTTTATGGCCACCATGTACCCATCCTCTGATGGCTACTTCCACCATGTCACAAAGCTCTAATCATTTCAAATTGGTTTCTTGAACATGACAATGAGTTCACTGTACTAAAATGGCCTCCACAGTCACCAGATCTCAACCCAATAGAGCATCTTTGGGATGTGGTGGAACGGGAGATTCGCATCATGGATGTGCAGCCGACAAATCTGCGGCAACTGTGTGATGCCATCATGTCAATATGGACCAAACTCCCTGAGGAATGCTTCCAGCACCTTGTTGAATCTATGCCACGAAGAATTGAGGCAGTTCTGAAGGCAAAAGGGGGTCCAACCCGTTACTAGCATGGGGTACCTAATAAAGTGGCCGGTGAGTGTATATATATATATATATATATATCATATCTTATAGAATGAAAAATGATTGTACCTCAGTGTCTGGTCTTCTTTAATAAGAAGTTGAAGCCTAATGAAATATTGTACAATTAAAATTAAAATAATTTGTAATGTATTACATGTAATAAAAATGTATGTAATTTATGTAAAAAAAAAAAAACATTTAAACGTATTTTTCAAATATATGTATATACCAAATATATCATATCTTACAGAATGAAAAATGATTGTACCTCAGTTTCTGGTCTTCTTTAATAAGTTGAAGCCTATATGAAATATTGTACAATTAAAATAATTGGTAATGTATTACATGTAATAAAATGTATGTATTGTATTACATGTAATATTAATTTATGTATGTTTATGCAACAGTACATTTTAAAGATTGCTTATGTCAGCCTATGGGTCTAGGTTTGTTAATTATTAGGATGATGTGGTAAGACTATCTGAGGCAAAAAGAGGAAATTCTGCATGATGATTGGGGTCAATCTGAGTTTACTTATCATTCTGTTTTTTTTATGTCTGTAATATTTACCTGTGAAATAAATACATGCCTACGAAAAAAGGCTTCTGCTGCAGTTTATCTTTGTTAAAGGTGCTCTAAGCGATGTCACGCGTTTTTTAGGCCAAAACGTTTTTTGTCACATACAGCAAACATCTCCTCACTAACTGCTGGCTGCCTGTCCCCTGAACACACTGTAAAGAAACGCGATTTCTGTAGACAGCCCAGGCTCCACAAACAGCAACAAAAACAAACTGGGCCAACCCGCTCCACAAACATGACAAACAGTTCCAGCCAATCACTGACAAGAAGGACTTGGGGGCGGGGTTTGGGGGGTTAGTGCGCAGATGAGGAGAAGGGAGGGTCTAGCTACCCTCCGTTTTGTTTGACAATACTTTAAACGTCAACAAGAAGTGACGTCACCCGACATCGCTTAGAGAACCTTTAACAAAAAGGCCACAACACGTTTTCCCAGTTCAAATGTCTTCTGTGATAATTGAAAAACCAAATCATTTAGGTCCTCATGGCATGGCTAAGCTGAGCACACTGAAATAAATCAACTAATTGTAGTGTTTCCCTATATCATTTCAAGTATATATTTTTTTGATACTTACATTGCAAAGTAATTAAAATAATCAGTAACACTTTACAATAGGGTTCATTAGTTAACTAGTTAGCATGAACAAAGAATGAACAATACTAATAAAGCATTTATTAGTTAATATTAATTTCAACGTTTACTAAATACATTATTAAAATCAAAGGTTGTATGTCAACATTAATGCACTGTGAACTAACATGAACAAACAATGAACTGTGTTATTATTAACTAACGTTAAAATTGATGAACTAACAGAAACAAATGACGTGAAGGAACAAATAACGGCCATGACGTGACAAGACTCTGATGGTGTGATGGTTACTGCAGAGTTGCAGGGTTCCTCATCTGCATCTCCCACAGTAAATGATGAGCCACTCAATGTGCCAGGGTCCAGTTGTAATCCCCCTCTGGCATCAGCCAACTAAAATCCCAATCCAAGCCACTCCAAAAACTGTAAAAACATCCCAGGAACAATATGGCTATAGGTGAGGAACTCCTCCACAAAATACTCCATCAGGCGCCAATTCTGATAAATAGAGCATAATTTCTACTCTGCACAGCTCCTTTCATCTACAATTTCCATACCTTTCTTTTTGATGGTTTTGAGTTCTGTCACGTGCTGGCTTGACATGATAATCAAAACAGAGAGGCTTGATGCAGTGAACTCACATTTAATAAACATCAGGAAACATCAGAGACAAACACAAGGCCCGAACTTCAACACAAGGCGAACAGAAGATCACTGAGGGTCTAAATACACATGATGATGAGGAACAGGTGAGACACTACTCAATGAAACAATGAATAACTATGGCAACCAAGGAAACAGGAAATGAAAGCTTAAGCGTAAGTTCTGCCGGGAAGACTCAATCGGTACGTCAAACGATTACCTTCTCATTATCCAATCGTGCTCTAAATACTTGTAGTATAAAAGATCGAAACTTACACATGTCTGAGTTCGCAGATGCTGACGCCTTCATTCACCTCCATCCTCCCCATCACCACCAAGATGGTCCCTTCCTATTCCTCCTAGGGGGTCGGCTGCGCCCCTGCCTTCGTCTTCAGGCAGGAAATGCAGATTCCGTACCCTCGGAATGCGAGCTACGGACGGGGCCTACGCCAAATTGTGCTTGCTGAGCTGTTAATAAATGTATACTTGTTACGGTATTTATTCTCCTGAGTTTTTCTGGTAGAACTAAACACACAGGAACTGAACACAGGCAGTACAAGAATATCACACAAAAAAGTGAACACAGACATAGGGTCATGACAGATAGATAGATAAGATGCACTTGTTGATGTCTCCTCCCCCTTCCTGCTTGTCTCCTGTTTGTCTGCAGAAAATATACATATTAATAGCTAGAAAAGTTACTGAAAAGCAGAAATGAGCACACCCTGTTGTGATGTCAAAGAACTACTTACTGATTTATTTATTGGCATAGCAAAATATGACTTTATTACTCACGCTCCCATTGACTCATTCATGAAGGATTACTTGAGCAGTGTTTCAGTTTTGTAAAAACACTTGATGCTGTGCAAGGTAAGAACACCCATATCTAATCATTCACAGTTTATTAATAGTTAATATTTTTTTATGTATGTATTTATTTATTAATTTTTCATTTATTTATTTTCCAGGCCATGCAATATATATATATATATATATATATACAATTTGACACTTTCGGGGAATCATTTTTTTTTTTTTTTTTCTGAAAGTGTCAAATTGTATTCTTTATTAATCTACAGTACCGCCTCCGATTTCTTTAATAACTGGTAACACATAACTTAAAGCCTTTATGTATAATGCATTACAAATTTATACTGTACGCTTTTGTGCATTATATCGTTTCATTATATTGTAACCAAAGTTAAAATGCATTATAATATTTGCCCATACTTTGTTACATCTAAAATCGGTTGTTTCTCTTGTGTTTTAATATATTATACTTTATAAAGGTTTAACAATGCATTATAATATGTACAAAATGCCGCTGCAAAGTTCCTCAAAAAAACGTAAGTTTGATTACGTTTCTCCAATTTTGAAATTGCTGCATTGGCTATACCTGTGCATTTTAGAATTGAGTTTAAAATTCTTCTCTTTGTTTTTAAATCCTTAAATAATCTGGCACCAAGCTATTTGTCTGAGCTACTCTGTCCATACAATTCCACCCGAAATCCGAGGTCTGGTGATAAGTTACTTTTATCTGTCCCCAGATCACCATTAAAGCATAGAGGAGAAAGAGCCTTTGCCATTGCCGGCCCTAGGCTGTGGATCGGCACAGTCTTTAACTGTTTTTAAATCTTCTCTTAAAACCTACTTTTTTTCTTTAGCTTTTAATTCATTGTGAGCTTCTGTCATGAATGTGTGGTTTGCCCTTGTCTCTTTATCTTGTGTTTTGTTCAGCACTTTGGTCAGTCATGTGTGCTGTTTTTAAATGTGCCATATAAATAAAAACAAACTTGAAAACTTGAAACTATAATATATTATAACTGTGGTTACGATTATACATGAGATCATAAAATGCATCATAAGGTGCATTACAAGGCATAATAAAATGCATTCAAAATGTTTATAATAGATTATAGATAAGTAAAGTGTTACCAAAACAAAAAAATTCTGAAGCAATGTTTTACTAAATAATCTTAACTAAAGACATGCACATTTTTGAATTAATAATTAGAGTTTATCACAATTAGCAATGCCATTAAACAAGTAACAGGTTTTTCTTTTACTGTTAGAATCACATAAAATAATGTGTATGCAGAATAAAGTGTTTGTATGTAAAATAAAGTGTTTTTACAATGTATGTAGAGAATAATTATGTAGAGTTTACACTTCTAGTTCACAAGTTTACAAGAATACACTTGTGGTGGAACAATCACGCAAGGGTTTTCTTTTGTCTGACACAGATGATGGTGCATCTTCTATGTGCAAAATGACGAACATTTATATTGATATTAAATGAAAATATTGATATTGAATATCTCTTTGAACATTTTAGAAAATTAGTCTCCCTAGTTGGCTTACAAATTGACATCATGTATGAACTGAAGGAACATTAATGGTTTTGTCTCTCTTGGTTGTAGAATGACTTCCAATACAACTCTTCTCCATTATGCCCACTCTGAGGTCTCAAACCACCATGAGAACACTACAGTGGACCCTGAAGCCATTATAAAAGCAGTCAACATCGTCTTCCACTCCATCATCATTCTCTTCGGCACCACTGGGAACTCTGTGGTCATCTGGGTTGCCAGCTTCCGCATGAACCCCAGTGTTACTAATGTGTGGTTGGTCAATCTCGCTGTAGCTGACCTGATCTTCTGCCTGACACGAGTCACTCCACTTATCAGAGATCTTTTCTTTGACCTCTGGCCTTTTGGAGAGTTTGTCTGCAAGTTCAATGCTTTCTTCAAGTACGCCAACATGTTCTGCAGTGTTTTCCTTCTGGCTGTCATCAGTGTGGATCGAGCGCTCTGCATTTGCCGCCCAGTGTTCACCAGGAAACGACGGACGTTACGTGCAGCTCGTGTGGTCAGTGTGGGAGTTTGGATTGTGGCCGTGATCTTCAGTTCACCGTTCTTTGTGTACCGGCAGGTCTTCCCTGGCAAGAACAACTTCAGCCACTGCTCAATGAAGGTCAGAATGGCTGCACAAATGCCTGAGTGATTCGTTTTTACTCACACATCTGCATGTACGATAGAAAATATGTGAATATGAATTTGTGATTTCATTTACAGGAGAAAGGAAGTGCAGAGTATGTCTACTACTTCATTCGTTTCATCTGTGGATTCTTGTTGCCCTTCCTGGTCATCCTCATCAGTTACATACTAGCTGCTGTTGGGATACGCAGAACACGGCTCTCGGGCAAATCGAGGCCTCTGCGCATTCTTGCTGTATTGGTCAGTGCTTTTTTCCTATGTTGGGCCCCCTACCACTTTCTAGGACTGGTCAAATTGGCGCATAAAGACAACACGTCAGTATATATAGGATGGAGTTGGGCTTCAAACTTAGCCTATTTCAACAGCTGCGTTAACCCAGTGCTGTACTTCTGCATGGGACTGGATGTTAGACGGCAATGTAACCAAAACCTGTCAGGGATTTTTCATAGAGCTCTTATGGAGGAAAGTCACTTTATGCAGTCTCAGGAACGCATAAGGAACGAAAGCTGTATTTCTTTTTCAAAGACTGCAGACACTGAGCGTATGACTAATGTTTAAGAGAAATTTGTTCAAAGCAAACTTTTTCCCTTTTTCCCAGTTTGGCATTTTGAATAGATATAAATAAAATGTATATCTTAAGACCTATTGAACTTCCATATGAAATGCATTTTATGCTTTTAGTTTTTAGATGAGATTTATAGCGTTATAATTATCCTTCGCTGCCTGCTTTGCGTCCTCTGCAGTTTCAATCTAAAGACATATATTTACAAAATGAAAATCATATATTTACTAAATGAACCCAGATCCAAATAAGCAAAGTTCATTTACCATAATATTGTCAGATTGGAAATATCAGCCTTTCCCCATACAAATAGGAGCTGTACTTGTTTGTCTACAAACATTTCTACTGAAATACAGCAATATTTAACCTACTGTAAACAATTAAGGAATTGTTGACCAAAGTTAAAAATATAATATGGTGCATTCAGATTTAAAGGGGTCATATAATGCCATTTTTGTACAAGCTAATATGATTCTTTAGAGTCTAAATTAAAAGTTTGTAATATACTTTAATTAAAAATTCTCATTAGTATTGGAAGAAAACACTTATTTTACCTGGTCAAAAACAGCTCTGTTTTCAGCACGCCGTTTCAGTGCATATGACTTTAAATGATAATGAGCTTCGCTCACACCGCCTCTCTGTTCTGTCCGTACACCGTTTGTAACACAATAACACAATAACCATAACGCGTTGTTCAGTATAAACGTGGGATTATGAATTATATTGAGAACATCATACATAGAAAACATGCCGTAATGTACCCTGAGTGTAAACCTTAGACGCATTGAAGCGTGCAGCTAGCGATTTGCAAAGATTAATATAAATATTAATATAAAGTTTAATAAAACATTACACTCACTTCAGTTGTTCTGGAGGTTTCGCAGGAACACGAAAAGCTGGTACCGATCATTTATGAGCAGCTTCTTAGCAAAACCAGCTCATGACCCTCGTTTATAAAGCAGTCTGGTGAGAAATGATTCGCGCAAACATGAACGCATTGACGTTGCTCGTGGGGAATATTCCCTTCGAAAACAAACTCAGCCACTGCGTCTTCAGCGGTTCAGATTTAGGAACATTAAAATGACTGCTGTGTTCCTTATTGCACCCAAGAACAGAACACCACAATCGCTTAGACGCCATTCTGCTCATAGACAGTGCTCCAGCATATCAACAATGACCGCGCCAGTCCACGCAGACTATGATTGACAGCTCGCTCACGAGCGAGGGCGTGTCTGTGTTGAAACGATGCTGTCAATAAACAATTGTGGGAGGGGCGTCCGACCGTGTGACGTCACACGGTCGAACGGCTTGATTTGAGGCAGGGGAAAACATATAAGGAGATTAAAAAAAAACACTGGATGGATTTTTATCATTTTATGATGGTTGCACTGCCAACACACATTTCAGTACAATCAACTTGTAAAAGTGCATGTACCATTATATGACCCCTGTAAGTTTTTTTGCTTTGACAAATTTAGATTTCAATCATTAAACTATTACATTATTAAACAACATTTCAGGAATATTGTTCAATTTGAAATTCTTTGTTCAAATGTGTTTGACTAGTCGGGACAACACTTGGGGGAATTAATTTGTTTCTCGCTTAACATAACCTTGAACTAAACAGGAACAACTTATGTTGTTGTTGTGGGGACTGAATTAACATGTTTCCTGCTGATATACCTGATCACCTGTTATCTGTCATCAATATTTTCCCAATTCATGTTTCTTGTAATAAAATGTTACATACACAAACATTTCTCCAAAACTTTTAAGTCCTAATGGCACAACTGAGTTTTCAAAAGTTGTCAGTTTTTCACTATTTTTTGTAAAGATGCAGAATATATGGAACCACTTCATAAACATGTGACCTTCTTCAGAGAAACCCCAAAGGAGGAAATGAATTGCATTTTTAAGTATTTGAAGCCCGCTTTTACTTTTTTGAACTTACTTGGTAAAAAGTTTTATTTAAAGAATTGTTCAGAACAGGAAGGACCATATCTTGTTTCTATGAATAAAAAGCCAAATAATTCTCAGGCAATGCATTTATATATTACTTTTTTGTGCATTTAAAAAAACTGCTGACATGATGAAAGTAAAGCTCTGGTAAAACTTACCGGGGGGAAAAAACATACAAACACATATTATATAAAATGACATAAAAGTGACTCTAAAAAAATATCTTTTTTCTTCTTTTTTCTCACGCACAGTGTTTAACACAGGATGCTCCCCACTTGCTGACTATGTAATTAAGCTGCAAGTGTGAAACTGTAAGTCTGATACTTATGGCCACATTGTGAAATAAATGCTTAAACGCAAAGAGGCTGCATGACTAGGCGAAACTATTTTGCAAAACAAATAGGCCTACAGTAGTTACATAACTACATGTGAAGTAACTTCTAACAGCATGGACAGATGCTCTAAAAATGATAACTAGCAAGTAATGTGAGGTCATAAATATATTTCAATGCAATATATCAAGAGAGAAACTTAAACACAGAAAATTATTTGATTTGATGTGGATTTTTATTGAAAAAAATTATGAAAAGTGAAATAAACATTTGTGAAAACTGGTATATTTATCTGTGCAGAATTATACAAATATATTTGCATGTGTAAAAAAAAAAAGTCCTTTAATGCGGTTTTAGGCTATTGAGATGGTGTATTTTTGCAGTTTAGTGTTTTAAGGCATAATTTTAAGCAATCCTCATAGATCTGATGAAGGTCCTGATGATTTCCGGGCCAAATCTTTCATGCTGCTTGCAGTTTTTAATTGCTTCAGGTTAGCGACTTCCAACCACTCTCCTGGATTCATACATTCTGTGAGCACACATGTAGAATATCCCTGCAACAGACAATTTCCAAATCACAAACATGCAAACAAGTGTGAGCATTTCTTCCAGACCTAAAAATGAAATAAATACTAAGAAATTTGCTTAGCTCTTTTTAGTTTTAACCATTAATAGGACTTAAAGAGAGCATTCACATTTTTATTGTGCTAATCATAAAGATGTGCGTAAAAGTAATGAGGATGATTCATTTATTTAGTATTGTATGCATTTTTGCACTTTACAATAAGGTCTCATTTGTAAACATTAGTTAATGTATACTTTTGATTTTAATAATGTATTAGTAAATGCTGGAATTAACATTAACAAATGTTAATAAATGCTGTAGAAGTGCAGTTAATTATTAGTTCATGTTAACTATAACTAATGTTAAATCTTTTTGTTAAGGGTTACTCATTTTTTCATGAGTTTGGTCTGCATGTACTCCCTGGTTTTGTAGCAGAACTTCATCATGAGGTTTATAAGGTCTTTCAACCACATCCTAAGGCATGCGCATGTCCTTGATTCTTTACATTCTGCACCACTAGAACATTTCATTACTTTTTAACACTCCCTCTGTTCTACAATAGCTTCTCTGGGTCAATCTTTGCCCGTTAAATAGCAGTCTATGATGTTTTCTATCACCTGCAAAGAAGGTCATGAGCATGGCCACCCATCCTAGTATGTAGGACCAGGAGAAGCGCCAGTCTCCGAAACGCTTGCCCAGGAAGCTTAGGGTTACGCCAGTGTAGATCGCCATAGCCAGCAGCACAAACAGAGCTGGGTGTGAACAAAGCAATGGATTAAAAAATGGATAGTGGAAGAGTAGTAGCCTACCATCAATATTTGACCTTGACCTTTTATTCACATTTAAATATGCTCAAATGTCACAGCTCATTGTGCATATGTTTATGACTTACTGGAGATGAAAAACATTATTCCTGCAGCAAAGGAACGATTGAATCTCTCAAAGGCAGAAAAATGGGCAAACGAGAGGATGCCTGCCATGATGCCCGCAAAGCACGCCATTCCTGAGAGGATCATGAATGCCCGTGTGGCATTCCAATATGCTGAGGAAAGAGACAAGAGATGTTCTCAAAACAATCCTAAAGACGGGTATCCTCCTCCTATTATCATCCCCAAAAAATCCCCCAAAAATGATTTTTCTCATTTGATCTTTTAAAAAAACTGTCCCTGCGGAATCACCTTGAACTAACCACAGTGCAGCTCCTGCAATCTCAGATGCCATCTTATTAGACCACTTTGGAGCGCCTGTTCAGAATATGAATGTGCAACACAAACCACTGTATGGAGCTCTGCATAGCAAAAAGAATAAACCACTGCCATCTACAGGCAAAAAAGTTCTCTACAGGTCTCAAAGCTCAAATGCAGGTGCCAAAATTCTTGTATCATGTTATAGGGGACTTTAAAAATAGCGATAGAGCAAATTATAGGCACATAAAAATATGTTTTGGGGGTTTGCATGAATCAAATGTGCTTACCTATACTTGCTGTCTGCATGTAGCACTTGTTGGCCATGCAGTACCTCCACAGGCCCTGATGGGCATAGCTGCCTGAGAGGCGATACTGCATCCAATAATCTGTTGCCGTGGAGACCACTATTAGGATGTTCCCCACAATGGCACAGAACAGGCCGCCGCCCATAAAGCTGTACATCCTGACACACGCTGTGACTATGCAGGAAGGAGATAAACACTAAAGAGATATGAGAAATGAGTCATGAAAAAGTTTCGATTTTTCACATACAGATGCTTATACTGTACACACATTCATACATGGCACAAAAAAAGTGTTAAATATATAATTCCAACAATTATATACAAGATTCAACTAGTTAAGTGATTTAAGTTGAAATGACTTAAATATCCAAGTTGATTGAAAAAAAAAGTTGCTGCCTTAAAATTTTAAGTACAGTGTCAGTTACTCAATTTAAACACTAATTTATTTTTTATAAATGTGCATATTAGCATTACTCAAGCTTCACAATAATCGATTTCAGTAACCATTTACAATAAGATCTAATTTATTAACATTCGCCAATGCATTGAGTAACGTGAACTAAATAGGGAATATATTTTTACTGCATTATTTAATCTTTGTTAGTGTCAGTCAATAAAAAATGTTCATGTTAGTACATTAACTAATACTAACAGAACATTTGAACGTAAAAATATATTAGTAAGACTAATAAATGCTGTAGCAGTTTTCTTCATCGTTCATGTTAACTAATGTAGTTAACTCATGTTGTAATGTTAAAAATATATAGGCCTACTGCAAATATATAAATCATTACAAAGTTAACAAATGAAACCTTATTGTAAAGTGTTACCTAGATTTTCTTTATACTTATGTCAATTCATTTATTATTTTTCTTCGCACAGGGAACTTAGATGCTATATGGCCTTTTCGTTATACTTCAATATATTGAAAAAAAGAAACCTGTCCCACTGAGACATGTGAACTTTATGATATTCCAGGTTAGATAGTCATTAAGAAAGTTCGCAAACACTAATTTAGGGTACAATTCTCACTATTAACTATAGTTAATAGGGAGAACCCAAATCTAAAGTGGGACCGAAATTTCTGTAATGCTCATCATAAAATAACTTCCATTCATACATTGACGTCTCAATCAGCTAATCAAATATTAAGAATATTTACAGATATATACAGAAAAAAACATGCAAGTTTTTCATCGCTTACCTTGTTGCTTCTGAGGCAAATCCCTCTTTGCTTATCCTCTGGGGAAAGAGGGAGTGAGAGAGTGGAGAGGGAGGGAGAGATGTTAAGAGGCAAAAGAGAAATGGACAACCTCTGTTGCCCTTTTTTTGTTGATGGTGGCAAAATCCTTTAAATGCTACCTCCTCTGTCTCTGAAACAAATACACTTGAACTGGTTAGGGCAGGGGCCCTGGTGTGTCTGACTTTTCACTGTGAGTATGCATGATGTCAATGGTCCTTCTTTTGTTTGAAGAGTAGACTGTTCTGTAGCTGCACATATTCAATGGATTGCTTTGGTGCAGCGGTCAATGCAAAATGCTGAGTTGCATGGTTGCTTTGACAGGGGCCACAGCGTGGCTACCCGCAGGCATACCTATAGTATAAAATGCAATAAACCCAATGTTTCCCATTCCCAAATCGAATTACTGAATCAGTTTTTCAATAGTTCATACATGAGGAAAAACTCCATGATGGATTAAATTATGATCTGAAAGAAATCTATCAATGTAAGTGAATGAACCAGGCAACAAGCTATAGAGAACCCAGATGTATTTAAAGGGATATAGTTCATCACAAAATGAAGTAAGACTTCAAACCGTAAGACTTTCGTTCATCGTCGGAACACAAATTAGGGTCTTTTTTATGAAATCTAGCTTTCTGTCCCTCCATTGACACCAACGCAACTACCACTTTGACACTTCAAAAAGTTAATAAAGAGATCGTAAAATTATATGAATTTAGCAGTTTAGTCCAAAATTTCTGAAGAGACATGATCGCTTTAGATGATGAAGGTTAGTTGGGCTTCTTTTTCTGTTTACTGATCAATGTTTATATAAGTGAATAAAAGCCTAAATTCAATCTGTTCATCAAAGTGATCGAGATGAACGACATGAGGGTGAGTAATGACAGAATTTTCATTTTTGGGTGAAATCCCTTTAACTCATTTGATGTGTCAAAAAACAAGCTTTCACAAAACAGTTTATAGAGGACTGTGTGATTGACATTCACAGCTGTGTAGTCAAATACATGACTTTATTCCTATGAATTACATTACTGTTGTTAGGGGATTTACCGTTAAAGACCCAAGGACCAGATATGACTAATTAAGACCGGGAGTCATAAGTGCAGTCAATTTAAAACAAGAGACAGAATTATAATAAATTAAAGACATTTTTTACTGAAGATAGTTTGCAGTTTCATCAGGCAGAAGTCAGCTTCAAGACTCGCAAGGATTTTGTAGGCTGCCTTTTTGAGCAATGTTGCTGGGCAATGTTGCCGTCAACGGGCAACCAAATGAGACACAGGGCCCACGACCGATCTAAATTATCCAGATAGAAATGTATTGCCCATTTTCAATGAGAAAGTGCCCAAGCAACAATCGCTCGGCAAGATTGCCCAGCAACATTGCTCAAAAAGTTGTCCTGTGTATCATCACATTTACAGTTACAAAGATCACAGCAATTATACCCTTCACCAAGGTCTAAGCTACGCCCTTGCTTCAGGTTGAATAATTCTGGGATAAGAAATAGATAAACATAGTAATTTTCCACACATGGACTGATAGGCAGTAGCACATCTCCATCTGTACGGCTGCCACCAGGACCCTGAGTTAGAGACGAGTGGTCCTCCGAAGTTACAAGAAGGCGCCAACATGTCAAAGAAAACAAGTCAGTCGATCTCCAATAATGCCACTTGTTCCTTAACCTGTAACCAAGAATACTAACACACACACAGCTTCTTCAAGGTTTGATTTGGTCGGGCTCTAACTATCAACAGGAGACTCTTCCCAAAACATCCAGATAACATGTTCTTTCTCTCAATGAGAGGACACTTTAATTTAACACAGTAAAGTAAAGACTTCAAGAAATGGTCACTCAACTATAGGTTCCAATGACCCCTGTGACCATTGCTGTCAGGGTACCCCAGCAAAACAGATGTATGTATTGACACATGTTGAAGACCTTTCTCAAACAAAACAAGTCCATATTTCATTTCTGGAAGATGGGCTAAATAAGCATGCACTGTTTCTGTATTCCTCACACGGGCTAGACCCACAGTCCCCTCTCAGATATCAAATACAGTAGAGAATACATGAAAAGAACATTTCAGTAATCACACTGGCAGCTTGTAAAATCTCATTAGCCAAGAGATGTCATTCAACTCATGTGACATTTAGAAGGAAAAATATTGATCAATACCTTGATTATAATCACTCATTAGCCTACATTGAAGCAGCAGGATTCCAGAATCCACCTCTTCTATATATATATATTATATATATATATATATATATATATATATATATATATATATAGGCTATATATATATACACACACACACACACACTGTATATGAAATATATTTACTGCAGTTCAAAATAAATCTCTTATGGTGAAATTTCAAAATTTACTCTGTCTGCAAAGCTGAATTTACTCCAGCACTCCAGTTTTCAGTGTCAAATGATCCTTCAGAAGTTGTTCTAATATGCTGATTTGCTGCTCAAGAAACATTTTATTTTGTTAGCAATGTTGAAAACAAAGGTGTGTGTACAATTTTTCAGGATTCCTTAATGAATAGAAAGTTCAAAATAGCATTTATCTGAAATAGAAAGATTTTGTACATAGGCTACTGTTCAAAAGTTTGGGATCAGTAAGATTTTTTATTTTATTTTAAGAAATTAATACTTTTATTCAGCAAGTAGGCTATAATGCATTAAATTGATCAAAAGTGAACGTAAAGACATTTATAATGTTACAAAAGTTTTCTATTTTAGTCAGATATGGAGAGCAGAAAAGAGACTTCTTCTAAAACCTTTTTTTTTTAATTACCGATCTAAAACTTTTGAACAGTATGCTAGTATAGCCTACATGTACACACACACACACACATATATATACGGAGAAAAAAAAATATATATGGCAATTTGGCAACTATGACAAGGCTCAAATAAGACCTTTGTGTTGATTTCAACAGCTCAATTTGCCATGCAGCACAGCCTCGTGGTTAGAACAGGGGAAGTTCAGGAAAATAAGTGGGAAAACAACGCTCTTACTAGCAACACAATCTCATGTTTATTAATGCTAACGTGTTACACATGTATATCGAATACATATTTCTTATCATCTGTGTAGATAATTTTTCTTGTCCAGTTTATTAATGTCAGAGATGAATAAATGTCTATTTCTTATCCACTGCTTTTGCATTCGTGTCATGTGGTTTGACCAAAAACCCGGATTGGATCGCAGGGGTCACCTGAGAAAAATCCCCACTCGTCGTCATATTTGCGATTCCTTGTGCTGTTGTGAGTATGACCCATGGTATGACCAAAGGAAAAACGTATATTTTGTACTTTTTATACGTTGTGAATTTACACACGGACAGGCTTTAAATCGTGGCGAAGACACAATGTAAGGTTTTAAGTTCACTCAATTATTAAATGCGATTTAAAAGCATTAAGTTAATGTCATTCATCATGAAACAAGCGGGGTTGTAGTAGCACTAGGCTAACAGTTAGTTATATCTCATTTGAAATTCAATTTCCAGTTTCAACGTTGAAAGTATATCGCTATAATTTATACTACGTGTTCCTTATGTTTCTACCTCGTACCTGCGAAATACAGCCAGTTTCAGAATACGTACACAACCATAAGCGTGTTGTCACATCTCAACCAAAAATGTTTTATCTTTTATTTCAACCCCATACTTGTTTATAATAAACACTCCACTCCATATTTTATTAGCGGCAGCGCTCAAATGTGGCCGCTATTAAAACGCGTGCGGAAGGATACGAGAAGATCGATAGCGAAACAATGCAGCTCGCGGTTCCGAAATACGGAGAAAATTAGGTTTTAAAGTATTTTTAAAAGCCTACGAACAAACCAACAAACACGCCTAACGTTGACTTGAAAGCAAAACGTCTGTAAAGAAACCACTAAGCGACTCAACAGGTCGAGAGCTCGTCTCGATAGAAGGGCGGGAGGGAGTAACAAACGCGACAAAGCCGCGCAGTGAGCGAAACAGCGACCGGTACACCTTCCGTCTTCCTCCACAGCGGTCTCCATTTTAACTCCTCGCCCAGCCTGCACCTCACGTGTCCTGGACTGTCTTTCTCACATGACCCGTGTGTTTGTCCCCGTGATCAGCGCTTCCATCTCCCGTATTTCAAGTGTCGCTGAATATCGCATTTTAAAATCCGCTCGCCTTCATGGATATGCTCGATCAGAGCTTGGACACCTCGACGAGGTGAGAGCGCGTCCTTTATGTACGGGCAGTCTCAAGGCCCCAGTCAACCATTTTCTGCTCTGTTTTCATAGTAAGGCAGTTAGCAATCATCTTTTAACTTTATTTTTTTTACTTTTATTCAGTTTTATGCATGCCATCAATATGTTGGGTCAAACGTAAGATATGAATAGCAGGGAGAAAAACAACAGATCGCAGGCCTTTTAACATTGATCGTCGACGTATTTATATCACTATTAGCCCGGTTGCTAATTTGGTGATTTGTCTATTTTTGGTTATTAAAAATGCACGACCCCAAACCGGTGTTTATTTCATTTTAACAAGATACTTCAATATGTATCTTTTCAGAAATAAAATATGTTACATTTTAAAGGATTTAAGTGGAAATGTCGTGTTTAGTGCTGTCGAAACAAAAGCTCTTCAGCAGTTTAATGCATTAACGTTACATGATTCTCTTCAACCTGCAACCGACCCCCAGTCTTTGCATCCAGAGGCTTTATGTGCATTCAGAAGCATTTTTTTCTATATAATTCCGTTGTGTTTATTTGGCTACATTTGTTATCTGAAGAAAACGTTGCTGTTGGTATTTTTTATTTCACTTTAAAAACTGTGAACAGTTGTTTAATGATGCTAATGAAGGGGGGCGTTCACCGTTTCCTCGCCAAGTAGACAGGTCTGACTAGACTCTCTTGAATAGATGATGGAGGTTAGATGTATAGCTAGAACATCTTGTTCTGTTCATTTGGAGTTTTTAATTGATTTTCAAATCGCTCAAATGCCTTCTAATTTTTGCATAAAGACTCGAGAATGTACTAGTGATGTGATGTCCGATTCTTTAACGAATCGTTCTTTAAGTCGGATCTCGGCATTGAACCGATTCGCAAAACCGCTCTTCGCGATTCTTTTGGAAATCTGTTTGAGCGGTTCTCGAGTGAACAACAAAAGGAGGGAATTTAATAGCAG